GCACAACTGGTACATGCCGATACATATGTGCAATGTATATCTTGCCAAGACATTTATTTTTTTTTAATAAAGAAATATATATATATATATATATATATATAATTGTTACGGATTATTCGCATATTATTTTGTTAATATTTTACAATTTTTTTGTAAGAATATATATCGTTAATTGTTACATTTAAATAACTTGCGGATATCTAAATTAAAATCGAGAATTGTTTATTACAGTGAAATCCAAGCAATGAAAGTAGCGATAAAAGAAAATTTACATACAACATAATTTATGTATGAAAATTTTTATGGGATATTTATGGGATTATTTTTTTACGTTTTTAAACTTTCACTTAGCTGGCTAAAAGAAATTTGTAAACTCATACTATAAATAATTTTTTACTAATTATTTAATTTCTTGTTATAATTAATAATTATGCTACAGAAATAATGAGTAAATTTTTAAACTTTATTATTTTATACATATAAAACCTATAATAGTATATAAAAATTAATTTCTCAATTTAATCATATAACTGATAATTATTTTCTTAATATACATTTTTTTTACACAAAACAGTATTAATATTTAATTGTTTTCTTAATCGATGTGTTTAAGAATATTTATAACTGATAAAGAATCTTTAATTGCTGCTTTTGTTATTCGATAATAAATAAATAAATTTTGGTTATTATATATCTTCAGCAGTAAAAGAAAATCTAATTTGTCAAAATTTCAAGTAATAATTATTCTTTGTAAAAGACGATGATTTCTGGAATTAACAGGTAATAAAGGAAGATATGATAAGAAAGACGAAGCTAATAATTGTAAAAAAAATAACTCGTAGAGCCGTTAATGTTAACGAAAGACCGTAAAGGAACTATAAAACACCGTGGAAGAAACAGACGAAATACTTATAAATCGCGTAAATCATTTCACAAATTTGCACAGTCATAGCAAATATATATTTATATTTAATATAATATTTTTAAATAAATTAAATTAAATATAATATTTTTATCAACTCTTTTTGACATAATAATTAAATTGAATATAAATATTCAATTAAATTGTATGCTAAAATAAGACAAAATTGAATAATTATGATTGTAATTTATGATTTGAAATCTTTTAAAATTTTCCTTAATATTCTTCAAAATTTTCATATAACATATAATATATGAAATATACAATATATTATATTCGATTGTTTTAAAATTTTATAAAATTTCTCACTGTTAAAAATATAATGTATTGAGAATCTTCACTCTAACAATAATATGTACTTTCTCATTTATTGTTTGTACGATTGTAAGAATTAATGCTTTGCTAATATTAGTCGCACTAATTGGAATACATATGGTTTTCCACGCTCGTCGAGATGTAAAAACTAAATATTAAGAGCTAGTAGTGCGCAATCAAGTTCACACAAATCACGCAATACATTTCATAATGACGAATTTGTTCAGCATTTATAATTGCTTTCTGCAATTTCTTGTTAATCTAATTTATATAATTAATGTCACAAAAGAATGTTACATTTTCCGAATGCCTTATAATTTCAATTTGAAATAAAAATATACGTGTTTACACATGTTTATATATACATGTGCAAATGCATACTCATAATTATGTACATGTATTAATCAGATTGCTCGTGCTAATTGGACTAACACGTGAATTCTTTTTTCCTAATTTTAAAATGACGCAAGAACGACATTCGCAAATCACGTAATTTATTTCATAATGAGAAGCTCGTTACGATATCGCGACTGAATCACGGACCTTTCTAGCAATGTGTATTCTTTTTTCTCTCTCAATTTTTTCGCGATGTTTGTTCAAAGTGAAGCATTTTACTGCGTGAAAACAGTTATTAGGGCAAACTGTTACAAAACCGGATATCAATTCTTTACGATCCTCATTAACGGACTAATTGTGCGTAACGTGCGTCAATGCAAGGCCGATTTTGAATGGTAAACAAGTTCGAGATTTTTCTATATGCACATTTTAATTCTTTTGAAACTGTAAGATAATATTTTTCTATCTTTATTGAACAATGTAATTCTTGTGCTAAAAAGAATAACATAGAATTTATTTTAAAGTAACTTTCTCGATATAAAAGAAATTAATTTTAATTATATTCTTTTTTGAATAATTAAAATTTTAAAAATATATATTACATATACAATAATTTAATGTAAAAATATTACTATACTTTACATTACAATTTTTTTTGAAATGTATAATAAATATAGTATATAGAAATTATTTTTTTTTATTTCTTATTCAAGCTTTTAAATTTAAAATTTATATACATCTTTACGCAATTTTCGAAAAACCTTGATCTTTAATTGAAAATTTTACCATGCATGTTTTGAATTATTTATCTCGCTATTATTTCTCTTCCGCGTCTTGTTTACGGATCAATTTAATTATTTCTTTCTCTCTTCCTGCGGAGGAATGTAACAAAAAGTAGGAATCTCGCGTGGAAGAAACAGGGTCAACTAGGTCAAGTGGTAATAAATCGAAACGCCGTGACTCGGGAATCCGCGAATGGCAGTACCGGAAAGACGCACTCTGCTTGTTCCGCGTACGTTTCAAGAACCGCAAAAAGGTTGCCTAGTATCGTAGAAATGTGTCGTGTGCGAGATTTATAGAATCAAAGGTCCGGGAATCTTGTGTCGTTGAAGTTCAGGTTACCTTATTTGTGTTGTGAAACCAAGATTTCACGGACTCCTCCTTTTTTAAACTCAAGTGACTACACGTATGTGTATATTTATTTTGTTGTTTTCAATATATATATAATTGATCGTTAAAATAATGCTTTCGATTAAATATTAATCGGCATTATTAGTATTTATAAAAATAATTGCATATAATAAAATATACGAGGAATGCAGAAGTTGCATGCGCGAAGTTGCGCGATTAAATATATCTTTTTAATAATGAGCAGAAGACAAAAGTGAGATCAGAATCGATTTTCAAATTTCAATATTCTAGAGAAATACGAGAAATTTGTCTTTCGGTCATTCCGATTGCTCATAGAGTTTAGAAAGCGTAATTCGTGGCACGAATTCGTGGCAGCGATGCATAATTGAGAATTTTCACGTGGCTGACGCGCGACATTACTTTGTAATTGCTCGAGTGCATCGGAATTTGTTTTTCTCGGTTTTCCTTTCGTAACGTGATTCTACTCACGTAAAACCATGCTTCGCAAATATTTCACACAGTAGCGAAAACAATGAAACATAAAAAAAAATCCATAGATTTAAATACATAAGAAATTATCAAAAGAAACACCGAAAGAGACTGTATAATAACTAATAATTATTCGATAATTAAATCCCCTTGAGGAATAAAATATCTGAAGGAAAAAAATTTTTGAAGGAATTATTTAGGCGAATAATAGATTTTTTGAACAGTTTTTAAAAATTGTTTACAATTGCATTCTCTCTTAAATATAGATATAATACCTTTAGACAGAAAAGTCTCGATATAAAATCGAATAAAAAAATGTTTCCCTCTCGAAAGAGACACATATAAAGATTGAGGGATATCGTAAAGAATAAAACAGTTCGTTGCAAAAATCTGCATTACCTGTCTCATTAATTTTGAAACATAAGAAAAAATCCCATAAATTTAAATACGTAAGGAATTATCAAAATAAAAAACACCGAAAGAGACTGTATAATAACTAATAATTGTTCGATAATTAAATCACTTTGAGGAATAAAAAATCTGAGGAAAAAAAATTTGAAGGAATTTAGACGAATAATATAAAATCGAATTTTTAAAAAAATTTCTCTCTCTCGAAAGAGATACGTATAAAGATTGAGGGATACCTTAAGGAGAATAAAATAAAGAGCCCGTTGCTGCAAAAATCTGTATTACCTGTCTCGTTAATTTTTCGTTCGTGTGCCGATCTGATGACGCAATGGTTTAACGATCGCGCAACTCGAGGTCGCAAAGTACATCGTAACGTAACCGGCGCGATTTTAAGAAACTATACGAGAGTTGTTGCGACGGTATCTCTCGCATTATCTTTATTTCCGTGTAACATAATTCGACGGTATTATAAACGCTCGTCTCTCAACGCCGGCAGTACAATCAAATATATACGTATTTATATTATTGCAGCAAGCAAAACGGCAGTAAGCGAACATCCGCCGCAAAATGCACTTGCATTCAAGTGCAAGATTAACAACTCCTCGTCGTTTTTTTACGTCCGACAACCAACCCGCTAATTAAACGGCAACGCGAGCCACGTTCTCCTTTATTGCGCCTTTTATTATGGCTGAGAGGGTAATTAACAGCATAATAAGAGCTTCTTTCTCTCTTTTTCTCCCTTGGCTGCGAAATACTCGAAATGTGGTAAGAATTTTCATAGATCGCCTAGTAAATCCGATGCAATTGCTTTCTCGCAGTTCGCACTTGTTATTAATCCGAGATAAACATCTATTTCAAAATTTCTAATCCGATACTATTAACTGTGAGTAAAAATCTGTTTCTATGTTTTTTTTATAATTCATAAAATTATATACGTCATTAAGATAAATAGATAGCACATGGAGAAAAACCTGTGACTCAGAGTCGATCTCACCCAGCGAAACTTTAAACTCATTTAATTATTGCGATAAGAATATACCTATATGCGTGTCACTTAAAACTTAAAAATAACAATCTAATAAATGACTTTGAACACTGAAAAGAAATTGATTAAATTAATAAATATTTATTTCAATACTGCCTAATGTATCATTTATTTGAAACTAATAATATTGATTTGATGTGAAAAAATATTTATTTGATAAAAAAATCCTTTTAAAAACAGATAAATATTTATTTGTTAACAAATAAATAATTTATTTGACAGTATTGAAGTAAATATTTATTATATATATAATTTAATAATTTTTTTTCCGTGAAGTAAATTATTCTCTCGTTCTTTCGTGTAAATGCTGCAATTAGCTGAATTAGAAATTAGACTATGATTTCCTTTACTGACCTGGAGATAAGGACTCGCCGCTGATAAAACCAGACGATGCGCGAGGAATCTCTGGCCTCCTGGACAACACAGGGCCACATCGGCGAATCTCTGCGACAGCATAGCCTCCTTCAGAATGTCACCGACATCCGGCGGCCTTCCGGAAACACGAATCACCTCTCCCATCATGCTCTATCCGGTGCGATAAGCGATCGCTCGCGAAAATATACGCATTTCCCGACTTCGAAGGAATCTTTCAACTAAGAGTTCACTTGCATGTATATAACTTTGCGGCACTCGCGGAAACACGATATCTTTACTTCGAAAGTTTTTAGCACGACTGTTCCCGACGAATCGACCTTGTTCATTCTACATAATATCTACCGGCTTTCACGTGAATCCATCCTTCGGGGAAGACACGAGGAACTCTTGCACTCGCGTATCAATAAATTCGAGCGAAAATCGACTTTTATCTCCTCAATTAAGCGCGATCATTCACGTTCGTGAATATCATTTCTTTTTGGCCGTCAAATATTTACAGCGGTGTAGAATGTATTTAATTGCAGAATCAATGGAAATATCTTTATACAAGAGGGAGTCGACGAATTTTCTTCTCTCGAGACGAACTCGTGCTCGGAAAGCGCGCGATCGATCTTTTTTCGAGAATGACACTTTGTTGACTCTGTCGTGTGGCACTGAATTATGACCGTGCGATCATCGGCATTTGTCAGCGATAACGGTGTTGGCATTCGCTGTCACATCGTCATCGCGAGATTTATGATCGACTGCGTTTATTTTCGACTGTCCTCCCATTCGCTTCCCTCACCGTTAAAATCCTCTAGCAGATTGGCCCGGTCGAATTAATATATCGTAAATCATCCCGTTCAATCTCGCGCACATTAATTAATCTCGTTGCCTTATCGCGTGTTCCCCATCTAAGGTCTCGGCACGACTCGAAAAAATTCGTGAATATTTTTCGTAAATTCCTGCCTCCTCTGACGCACATTAAATTTTACCTTATATTATATTACGATAAATTTGAGGAATTTCTTTTAGAACTTGCCGCTCTCAATTTTTTCGAAATAATTTATTAATTGAATTTTCATTAATTTGCTCTTTAAATAAATTACGTACACTCTCTCTCTATCGCAAATGACGCGCATTTCACAAGCACGCAATTAGTTATTGATTAACACGTGTCTATATATCTCTTGTTGTGATTCTTCCATGAGGTAAAGAGCTTCCGTTAATCAAACACTCTTCCGTCGTCGTTTCTCAATCTGGTAAGACAACTCCGAGACTCCCGAGTCTTTCTTTCCGCAATCGGTCACCGTTTAATCGAACACCTCCGTTTAATCGCGGCTGCGCAATATTAAAGACGATAATTTTGTTGAGAATGCCGTCGGACGAGTCAGTCGATTCAGTGACAAATTTATTTACGTCGCTCGAACGGAACATTTATCTGCCGATCGATCCGCCGCCAGGAGTGTCTTTTAATAAGCCTCGACGATCAACCAGCTCTTTCTCGTAGATGACAGCTCTTCGATCATCGCCGAGGAACTCGAGATTACTCGAGAGGACGTTCACTTTCTTCAAGATGCGCGGAGATCCTTTGAATTTCCAAGCGATCTTTGGTTTTATTGGTGTGCGGCGATTATCATCGATTGCGATCGAAAGTATTGTTGTTTACTTTACCGTGTAATGTATCGTGACGCATCACATTTTCATTTCTTACAAAGTATCTTGCAAATCACGCACGATCGAGTGATCTCAGGGATGTTTTTGAATCGGAAAAAATAACAAGGAGTGAAATTTTTTCTGATTTTAATTAATTAAAATCAATAATTAGCAGACCAATTGTTGTATCGAAAATGTTCTTCCGCTTCTTGAAAATTGATACCGCAAAATTTTTCCGGATCAGTTCGATTTAATAATTAATTCTCGTGATTAGATCAGTCCGATAAGTCACAATAATCTTATTGATCGATGGAGATTTATTTTATTAAAATAAATTTTTGACAGTGTCTCCGTCCGTCTGACAATAATTAAACGAGATCTGCATATTATCCTCAAGGTTTGTTGCATTTATCTGCAGAGACAGATATGTCGCGACGGTCGCTTCATCGATTTTGGAAGAGAATCCGGGAGATTCGCGATTTTCGAGTCGCATTGCAAAATGTACCCGCGAAATTCTCTCGACATATCAGTCTCGTTCTCCCTTAAGTTATCCGGTGTCTTATGAGTCTCTTTTTTGCTCTGTCTCTCTTTGGCGAATCGCGCTCGCGGCGCTCACACGAGGAGAACCCGTCGCTGAACGATTCAGCTGGGCGACTGCCACCTGAAACGCTCAGGTGAGCAGAGACCACCTCTGCCACCGCGAGAGTGGTCTCTCCGGAGAGACGGAGAGTGTACACTCGCAGGGAACTCCTCCCATGTCTCTCGCTACACTATTCCCCTTCTTCCTCTTCCTTTCGGAATCACCTGCATTAATATTTATTCCGCGCGCATATGTGCACATATGATTATATTACATATTATTATAAAAAAGTTGCTGGTTGTTGCTGAAAATGTTGCGTCTTCACTGGAGCAACAGTGAGCAAGTTTTTATTAATGTTCCATGTTTCTGAAAAAAGTTGCTGGTTTATACATGTGTATTAAACTGTATCCTTACTGGAGCAACAACCAGCAACTTTTTTCAGAGACATGGAACATTAATAAAAACTTGCTCATTATTGCTCCAGTGAAGACGCAACTTGTGACATTTTCAGCAACAACCAGCAACTTTTTTAAGAAACATGAAATATCAACAAAGTTGCTCGTTGTTGCTGCAAGGAGGACGTAGCTTGTGAAATTTTCAGCAACAATCAGCAATTTTTTAAAGAAATCTAGAACATCAACAAAAAATTTCTTGTTGTTGCTGCAGGGAGGACGCAGCTTAGGAAATTTCAGCAACGAGTAGCAACTTTTTTTAAGAAACATGAAACATCAATAAAATGTTGCTCGTTGTTGCTCCAGTGAGGATGCAGCTTATGAAATTTTCAGCAACGACCAGCAACTTTTTTAAGAAACATGGAATATCAACAAAGTTGCTCGTTGTTGCTGCAGGGAGAACGTAGCTTGTGAAATTTTCAGCAACGATCAGCAATTTTTTAAAGAAACCTAGAACATCAACAAAAAGTTTCTTGTTGTTGCTGCAGGGAGGACGCAGCTTAGGAAATTTCAGCAACGAGTAGCAACTTTTTTTAAGAAACATGAAACATCAATAAAATGTTGCTCGTTGTTGCTCCAGTGAGGATGCAGCTTATGAAATTTTCAGCAACGACCAGCAACTTTTTAAAGAAACATGGAATATCAACAAAAAATTGCTCCAGTGAAGACATAACTTTACATCCAATATTATATGTATATTGTTGTTTTGATATGACGTTGATAAAATACAAAATATTGACACGAGCTGTTTCTCTTACTCGGCCGTAAATGATTAACGTCAGTTGACAATTTTGTACATATGTATATTTGCACGTTTATTTGAAACCCCATTTGAAATATTTAGCACGAGTACACATTTCAAATATATCTAGATGCCTCTAGATAGAGAAACTTCAGGTAACTTATAAACTGAAATTAATTTTTTTTTTTTTTATACATAAAGCGAGTAAACCGTACAATATTTTAAAATATATTATTTTTTAACGAATTATTCTATTTTTTCTATTTATTTTTATAAATTAATAATAAGCGATAGTTACTGCTTTAAAAACAAGTGCATATTTATACTCACTTTTCCAAAATTATTTTTGTTACTACATAACATAAGAAATGATACTTGAAAAATGGTTAAGAGAGAGTTCTTCAAAATTTCAAATATATATTTCACAAATATACGAATTTCTGATAATTCTTTTAAAATCTTCTTTACAAATAAAAATGATAAAATACATCAATGATTTTTAGACAAACTATCACAGAAATAGACTGAAAATATAAAAACTCAAAATTTATCTCTGTCGCGTGACTTGATACTGTGATACTTTTTTTTAGAAATTGCAGACGAATAAATTGAAGAGATCTCAAGTTGTTTGACGTTGAAATAAATTGTAGCGCAGAGTATAGATGAAATATATCTGGCATTCTAATACACCTGGCATTCTAATTCCGATACAGGATGATTCATATACCTTAATTTATTATAGAGGAAGAGAGGAAACACAACATACAAAAACGCAATCCAGAAAATTGCTGTATATACAACTGTATATACAAATTTCTATTCTTTTATCTAGAGTCAATAAAAATCAATACTTTTTAATGTTAATATTAAAATTTTTATTTTAATATTATCCCTAATATCTTGTCTTACTTTTATAAACCAAAGAAGAAGTAAAGAAAAGTAGAGAGAGAAAAAGAAAGGAAATAAGGAAAATGATACGATGATTATTCGATAGATTTCAAATTTTGTATCTGTCGATATAACAAAAATACATTTGCCTGTTATTTGAAGCACCGTGTACACCTTATAGGATCCTATCGTTGGTAGAAAGGTGAACTAAGCAGAGAGAGAAGCAGGAGTATCAAAAGCAACGCGCGGGAATTCGTGTGCTAATGTCAGCTGTCAGTGAGTTAAACGGATAATCGTTAACGCTTTATGTTTATAATCGTCGGTATGGCATAATAAGAGAACATCGAAAGAGCGAACGGCGATCTTGCGAGATAGCGATTTTTTATTGAACGCGATATCGCGCACGGACAGCCCATTTATCGAGCATAATTGACTAATATCATAACATTGAGTAACACATTCTTAATTAATACTGGCGGACATTTTCATATTATGTTAAACTTAAAACTCTTTAAGAAAAAAAAAATTTTTAATCCAAGATATTCTAAAGTGAAAAATTTTTAATAAAATAAAAACTTTATGTCAGTTTCTAATATAAATATTTTTTTCTATATATAAAATTTTTTTTTTTTTTAATATTCGTGAAACTAAGAATATATAAATCTAGAAAGATTCCTTTATATAGGCCTTAGGCGAAGGTAAGAATTTAAGGACCAAGAAATCTAAGTATGCAATCAGACATTCACGAAAGTGAAAAGTTCGGAATTATGAAACGGACTCGTGTGAATGAAAGAACCCTACAAGATATGTACTCCGATATGCGAAATTTCATTTCGATATCTGACATAAGGTATCGCATTTCTGCAAATTTTTATAATTTTAATTATGGCTTTTGCATTGCGAAAAAAAAATTTTTTGTAAGTCAGGCGGGTCGAATCATTGTAAGCTGCAGTATTTCTTACAATTCCTAATGAAACTAGACATTACACCTGTCCCAATACAGTAATCACGTAATGCATGTTTCGTAATGTGTGTGCTTCTGAGAATATAATCATATATTATTAATCTACCATTAATGCATTGAAGCTACTCGAGTAAGCTTAAATATGAACTACTGATTTAACATCAATTTATATACATATATCCAAACAGCTAAACGAGTTAGTAACCGGTTTCCCATCTCTTTGTCTATATACATTTCTATTGAGGTGTCCGACAAAAAAGAAAATCTATCAAAAAATAAATCTATCAGAGATCAAATTAATAATCGAAATGTCCGTTCTATTCTATACTTGTCAGACACGCATCATTTTATTAATTTTTTCTGACTAAATTTGATTCTATATCTGAAAATACGTTTAATTTTTATTACCCAAAACTTCAAGATAAAAAAATTAAAATAACAATTCAATATAGGAATTATATGTCGAAAAATCATATTTTTATATTTTAATTTTTTATTTTACATTTTGCATGTTATATTTGCGAAAATCTTCCAATACAACACGGTGATATATTGTCGCGCAAATTATTTCGTGACAAAAACTCTGCAGAAGATTGCGATAACGAAACTCGCACACATATCTACAACCTTATCTGCTAAGAAGAATGTAAATCGACGCGATACCGAATTAGTAAGCAGTGTCTAAGATAGAAATGACATATCGTCGGATATCATTAGCTCGGTTTCCTTGATTCTAAAATTACAGCGATAACGGCCCCAGATGAGATCGCGTACTGATTGTATAAGATATACGTTTATATGTATACATATCATATTTCTACATACCATAAATGGCGAATTAATACCTTCTCCTTATTTATAGCCGTACTTTTTTTTTACCTGACAATTACACGTTTTGTTGCGTGAATGTATCTTTATCGCAGGCTGCCGCTTATCTGATTAATAAATTCTGTTGTGAGTTTATTTTACGAAATTTTATGAATATATGTAAACTAGAGAACTCTTCGATAGATTAAATTTATATAATTTTTTATTAAGAAAAAAATATACATACGCTGTAGCAGCAAAACTTGTCCTTTTATTCGCCAGATAATTTAATATTACGTCAAGTTAGGTCACTTTTAAACATTATTATTAAATAAAAAGCAGTACAGTAGTGAAATTATGAAAAAATATTTAACAGAGGCGTTTGCTTTCTCTCTTCGGAAGAATTTCTTCACTCTTCACTCAAATTCCTCAGAGCGAAGGTAATGGCGTGCCATTTTCAAGATAACTCACTCAATAACCGGTTAATGCGGCCTTGTTTAAAAAATGCTGACATTATCTAAGCTGTTAATCTAATTGATGGTAATACAAAGGTTCCATTAACGTTACGTTTCGTGCGTTTGTGCAAGTTCGGTCACGTTGATTATAGACACGTGAGAACGACGCTACTTCCGGTCATATCTCAAGAGCACGATGAAGAGAAATTGATCTCTCTCCGTCAAATTGATGAACCCAGCTTGTGAACACGTGATGACGGATGGTGATGATGGAAGGCAGGCATTGAAGTTGCTGCCGCTATTTCGAAGTTCTCTTCTTCAAGAGCGATACATTATAACGGCACAATCGTAAAGGTCGAAACGAACATCTTCAAGATATCGAACACGTCGAACTGGCGATGCCGTTTATCTTTTTAAGGAACCGTGAAAGAACTCTGCGCGGAAGAAGAGTTATGAAAGTTCTTTGATTATTGATCGATCTTCTATTGAAAATCTATACTGTATTAGAACTTTTATTATTTGAATTAAATCAAAATACGAGATATGATCTGAATAATATAATATTCAATAGTTGCCAAATATCCTCCATGTGACAAATAGATGAAATAAAATGGTAAATAAAAAAAATTAATTTACAAAAATTTATGAAATTTAATATTTTATTTTCATATGCTTTTACGCTTTAATGTCTTGTGTTAAAAAAGATTTGATTCTGATAGCAAAAGAAATATAATAAACCTGGAGTGTGGAAACTTTGACACATCAAAGTTGTGATTTTAAAAATAGATGAAGCAATTCGAATTTTATTTTCGGATATCATTAAATATATGGCCCGAAATCGAACGCTG